TTCATAAAATGCCATCCTGGAATGCAAATGATTTATTTCCGTTCGGAGAATCGTATTTTATATGCGTACAGTCATTAAAGTGAAAGAGTCTCAAATTTGCCATGGCTCCATCTCCCAGACATGACCTGCCACTAACACAATCCTATTACAGTCTGTACTGGCCAGTGAATCGCCTCACTTTAGACCCAGGGTAGGTAACTCTGTAAGACTTCAAGGCTGCACGTGCAGGTATAAGCTGCAACCTCACCCGACGTTCGAAGGCAGCCATGTTACTTATAGTGACCGACAACGTAGTGGATGTAAATGTATGACTATACGTGTAGCAGCGGAAATCTGTGTGAGAAGAGATTACATGGAATCAGAATGGTCCGAAACGTGTTTGTGTACGGTAAGAATAGCGTACTTTATACACGGAGAAGCTGTCGTAAAATACTGCAAATATGCTCCTTTCGTGGTTCACAGGTACCACGCAAATCGATTGATTGCTCTGACGGAGAACAATGAAAAAGTGTAATTACCATGTAACATAACTTACAAAATATGAAAATGTATCATTTAGAATGTTTTGTTTAGTAATTTGAATATATATACAAGTTTAGTGTTTAGGTATGGTAGCTACCCTTATGGAAGTCTGTGTTAACCCAGATGAGTTACTTCCCTTTGACCATGCCAGCACCAGAGCTGAACAATCCCTTCTGCGGTTGGCATGGTTACGTTATTCTCCTTGGCATGAGACCTGCACTGGACTGTACCCATAACTATCAGAGTACGACTCATACGATAAGGAATTGACATGACTTATAGGGCTAGGGGTAACTTAAGAGAGCATGCAACACTTGCTGCCAAACTGAGGCTCTACTGCTAACTGCCAGAACAGCAATCTGCAAGTGTCCTGTGTGCTTGCTACACAGTTAGTGTCAGGTACATTGCTCATTTGAGGCATCTACTGAACTCTGCAACACCACTTTTAAGAATCCGCTAAAAGCCGTTTTTGATCATTTAAAGTCCTTTGGAAATAGAATGATTTACACAAGTTACTTGCACGCTGCTGAACTGTAAAGTCTTTGAGCTTTTAGGTAATATCAGGAAATTGCATGCTTACGATCTCTGGCTTGCTGTTTCCATACACGTGATATAAAAGAAGAAGGATACACTGACATCCTATTACTGCAGGCTTCAAGCTTGTACATACACATGTTCTTCATCCTTCAGTTCAGGCAGGATCTGGATCCTTGTCATACCACTACTACTGTTGGCGTTGTTACTCCTTCATCTTCTGAATAATTATCTACCAATCCACTATCCTGGGAGTTAACTGCTCTTCAGTTGTAGGGGTTTATAAGCCATGTGCGAGGCAATATCATCTACTGGCATGTTCCTATGCTCCAGTATGGCTAGATCTATATGAGTTGGTATGGCCCAGTTTGGCTTTCTCCAATAGCTTGTGTACTGTTTATACAGCTTTCCCGGGTGGTCCAGCTAGAGATCAGACAGTTCAGATTCCCAGCCTTTCTTCAACATAGTTCTCATTGGTTCTGTGACGACTGATAAATTTGGTATGAACTTGGATAGATAGTTTACAAACCCTAGCAGTCTCTGACCAACTTTCTTGTCTGTAGGAGCTGGCATCTTGTCTGTAGGAGCTGGCATCTTGTCTGTAGGAGCTGGCATCTTGTCTGTAGGAGCTGGCATCTTGTCTGTAGGAGCTGGCATCTTGGCTGGCATCTTGTCTGTAGGAGCTGGCATCTTGTCTGTAGGAGCTGGCATCTTGTCTGTAGGAGCTGGCATCTTCTGGATTGCCTCCACTTTGTCTGGATCAGACTGGACTTCTTCAGATGAGATGCAATGACATATGTAACAAACTTTGTTCACACCAAACTGGTACATTTCTTTATTTACAGTCAATTGTAGCAGGGTTATGAATGCAGGAAAACTCTACAAACACACGCTACAGGGGCGAGAGGTTTTTGGAAGTCATTATTTCACCGTGATATGTATTTAAAGAAATAATGAAACATTGATTTAAACATATTTTATTTCAGTGAAGAAAGGGATTAGGAACAAGTTATCCAACTTAGGTAACCATCTCCCAGTTATTTGCAACATGATAAATATACAACATACAAGTAAGATAGTACAGAAATGGTAGAGACCTATGTACAGAGATACTTGTAATAGGCGTGGTTCTCAGTAGACAATCACGGCCAGTGACAGCTGAGTTAAGTTACATAGTGTGTAGGAACATGATGTTTAATCAACCTTGTTTGGACTTTGCGTTGTGTACTTTTATTTTTATGAGGGTGCGTTCGGGTTAATCTGTTCTCTACTCAGAACTCAGTGACCAGTTCGAAAATCGGGCATAAAGCCTATTGGGAAATAACAGACACAAGATAACACTGATAATAATTTATTACAAAAGACAACAGAAACTTAACAGTCTGTAAACTTCACTTCTCTCTCACATAATTAAGTTTAAGAAAACCAGCTTCGTGAGGAAAAACATCAAACTCCTATAACTTCTATAAAATAGAACCTCCCGAAACCAACCCGTCTAACTGGACATTACCCAAAGTCTATAACCTAATTCCTATTCCGTTTCCTACTTCTACTTTTCCCCCAACCCGACCTAACACTAGTTTAACAGGAACCTAACTTCCCCATCTCAACAATCCATAGAGAAACTTCTTCTGAAAAGCCACCCAAAACCAACCCCGTTTAACTGGACATTACCCAAAGTCTTAAGCTTAATACCTATTCCGTTTCCTACTTCTACTTTCCCCCCAACCCGACCTAACACTAACTTAGCATCCCCCTACATAAAACCTAACATTCCACTCTGCAAACGGGAGGGAATGATCCTGAAACAGGACCTCGACAGAGATATTACCTGATGCTCGGATGACCTAAAGCTAGACACTGAATCCAGAGAGCCAGGTCACTTATATAGTGCTCTAGAACGACCTCTGACATGGGTCAAAGTTCACCTACTGATGAAGGACGTCTCCGCCAATCAGAGCCTACCCAACATATTTAGCACCAACCACGTGGCCTACCCAATGTATCTAGCGCTACGATGAACGAGAACCCCGGTCAAGAAGTTGTCCCGTAGTAGAGCAAGTGAAACAATGTGCTACAAGACTATCTGGTAGACAGTTATTCTACATGTGGTACGTATAGTGTTATGAAGTACAGAAATGGCATGCCCCCATGCTTACGCTATAATTTAACCCAGTTTTCCTACATACTTATTAAGACATGAAAATATTTACAGCATTTAAGAAAAATGTTTGCTATTTAATATGTAATGCTGAACTGCTTTAAATATTGCATGATTTTGAGTATGTAGTAAGTTCTTGCGGCCTACCTTTAGAATACAGCACCAAAAACTTTAAAAATACGTCATAATACCCTTTTACGGAATGTAATGTGATTTTGTTCGAAAGCATGTTCTCGAAACCATGCCCTATGATGCCTGCATGGCAAAACGGTTGTCTGGCTCAGCGAGAGCGTATAAGCTCCGCTCACTGGTGTTCCATCTCTACGAGCTATGTCATTGCAGAAGCCCAACGATGTTGAGAGTTTCCAGTAGTTGTATACCGGCGGATACACAATATTTTGCTGAGGTGTTATGTTTTGTGTATTTTGTATTTTGTAATTTTTAAAATTTACATATACATTTTTGTCATTCAGTAATTTGCACCATTACATAGAAAAGTGTTTTATTAGTATTTTATTTTTCGAAGCGGTAATAATGCATTACACTAGACACGTCAGTCGTGTTTGTGCCGGTTCGGTCAATGCATTCTATTTATTAGGATTAATTCAAGGGATTAGGGTTAGGGCTAGGGCTAGGGCTAGGGCTAGGGCTAGGGCTAGGGGCTAGGGCTTAGGGTAAGGATTGGGGTTGGGGTTGGGGACCTAATGCAATATAGTAGGTACATGTCCGATGGTTCGGTCAATGCATTCTATTTATTAGGATTATTTCAAGGGGTAAGGGTTAGGGTTTAGGGTTAGGGTTAGGGACCTAATCCAATATAGTAGGTACATGTCCGGTGTAATACGTGAGTACCATTTGTTGTTTTTCCTTTTTGCATTTTAATGCTTTTTTTTCACACTAAAACGGGAAACCAAAAACGTTGAAAGTACATTAAAAATGGGTTAATGTAGAAATTTTGGGCTAATGGAAATTGGCCTGGAATTTGCACTCAAGCCTCTTTCACACACAACATAAATTTTGTATAGTAATGATTCGAAGGCTAACTCACCCTCGTGCCGTCACTACACATGCTCATGTCTCCCTCGTTCCTTATTGCGATCCACATTATCCTTACAGTGTTCCCTACATCAGTTTTTTGTCACAAAATCACCAATTTATATAAAAGCGCGTCATTCATGCATGCACTGTGAAATCAACGTCTGACGCCTGACGTCAACAACCCTTTTCAGTTTGAGGCATATCGGCTCATTCCATGCCACACGTTATCTTGTAGATTATGGAATGGGACGAGTGTGCCAAATGGCATCGGATCCATTCGGCAATTGCCCGTAGATTAAAATCACGACACACCAAGTCTACCCGTAACCTTCGTAATTGTCCGTGACCTATTCGACTCTTTCCGTTCATTTCCGTGATGTCACAGGAATGACTCGAAAAATTTGCACATTGTGCAACAGTGTGGATGTAGCTCAGTTGGTTAGCTGTCGAGCTAACAATCCGAAGGTCGCGGGTTCGCGTCCGACGGGTTCTCAAAAACTGGTTGCTTGTCTTAATGACACGTGACCTACAGCAGAGATCGTCCTCACGAGAAGTTGTGGTGCTGTATTCTAAAGGTGCTCCGTTCTTGCTGCCATTTCAAAATAAATCTAAATTTAAAGCATCATCATGTACTTGTAATTTTAAAAGGTTCAACAGTTTTGCTCTGTTTTCGTTATATAGGCAACACTTAAACATGAGTGGTATACGTGGTATATACCACACAGGCAAATAGTTGCTGTAGATGTCAGTTTAATGGCAATAATAACTGAAGAAGGCCCTGTAAAAAATAAATACATTGTATCAAAATACGCTACAATACTTCATGGGCCAATACATGTGAGGCTTAGCAATAAGTACTACGATCATATATAAGCAATACAATCATTAATGATTAACCAGGTCACAGAGCAGACGTGTGTGTATATATGTATATAATGTTTATATTTCAACATACACGTGTAGCATCATACAAATACATAACATAATTATTTACAATATAATAAGAAAGAACCCTCACCGAGTGTATGGCACTGTGCCCCTTTGACGTCACAAACATCAGGAAATATGTTTGCCACACCTGAACATAAACATCCATAATCAATACTTTGTAACGTACTACATCTGTATATTATCACTCTACTGTACATAAAACATCTGTTCCAATAACTCGTCTCATCACACATACATTCATTCATACATGCAAAGTTAGGTGCATTAGTTTATAGGAATAGATGTACACATTATGTTTACCTACACAATAATTTATAAGTTAGGTAACATCCTCGTGGGAAATGTTATTTAGGATTACCTACAATAAACTTACATATGTAAAGTATTGCTAACACCTAGTTATGCTACATATTACAAATAGTTAATTTGGTTTATATTTACCACACATAACATGATACATGCTTTAAAGGAAGCTAAGAAATAATACATACACACTAAACATGAAGGCATACAATATACAATCCAAATATATACTAACCTGTTATAAGCTGTTGTGAGCTATGACCAGTGACCAGACAGACTGAAGTGAAAATGATAGCTGACTCACAAAACACCCTGCTATTGAAAATAAGGGGCCTGGGGCTGGGGCAAGACATAATAGAGACAATAGACAAGCGTCACGTATTGTGTCACGAACAGTCTGAGGAAGTAAATCTATCACATAAGGTGCATTACCACATTTCATTTTATAATATAATGTTAACTTTCTTCTTTTCCTACGTACTGATAATTTTTCTCACCAAGTTTCAAAATAGAGATATTTAAGTGGTGTATATTTTAGTAAACCAGTGACAATACAGGCTGCTTCCAGATGTAGTTGTTCTAGTCTCAATGACTGTTCAGAATTACACCCATCCCAAACCTCTCAGGTACATTTAAAATGTGGTCTGATAAACATAATATAGATCTTATGAGACATTACAAATAATGCAATCCTCAATGTGACAACAGTACATACTGGTAGATTTAAATAGACTTCTAGGTTTTACTCTTACCAGTACAATACACTGTAAGGTCACAATCAATATTGCCAAGTTAAAATCACAATACATATTGATAAATGAGTTACATGTAACATGAGTGAGTGAGTGAATGTAGTATTACACCGCACTCAGCAATATTCCAGCTATACGGCAGCAATCTGTAAATAATTGAGTCTGCACCACACAATTCAGTGATCAACAGTATGAGCATCAATCTACGCAATTGGGATACAATGACATGTGTCAACCAAGTCAGGGAGCCTGACCACCCGATCCCTTTAGTTGCCTCTTATGAGAAGCATGGGTTGCTGAAGATGAATTCTAACCCTGATCGTTAAAGGTCACATGCAACGTAAAACATATCTTTGCAGATTCTGATACCTTTCCGTATTGACTTACCGAAACAAATCATCAAAAATGCAAATTCAACTTATAGAGTTGAAAAATAACGCAATAAAAAAAACGTGCGAAATTGTAGTTCAAACGATTCACTAATTTTCCCCCAGCTCTTGGGGGAATTCAAGTGGTTTCAACAGCTGGGCTGTGCTCATAGCACGTGCGCAGTGAAATAGGTTCGCGCAGCTTGGAAGCTGGGTTGTCCGGTGAATACTCGGTGAAGGCTTTGGTGTGAGCTTTTTTTTGTTTATATTTCACAGGCGCGAGCTTTTTATATGTTATGACAGTAGATTAACTGTTTATATAATTTCATTTGTCTATTTCACCACACGTTCTTCTTACCGAGTCACTTTCTCAGTTCGATACTTAAAAGCAATGTCATTATTTAGCGTTGACAGAATTTCTAACTGTGATATAGATATGTCGTTGTCACAGACAAAACTCAATGTCTGTTTTATTGACACCTTTGTGTCTGCCTGCCTGTCTGCTAATGACCATATTCAATACACAACTGCGATCACTGACCACATGCAATTTGAACTTAACACCAATCAGGCTATACACCATAAACAAAATGCATTGATTTATGGCCCGAGTTCGGTCTCTGTCACATTATGTAATTACACAGACAGGCAGGTGTGATACTTGTACACAGGACATGTTATGATGTCTGTTGATTGCAAAATGTTATACACAAATAATGAGCATGTATTTACAAAACCCAACATCTCTATATATACACACACAATGAGCCGTGAGGGCATCTGCAAATAAACCAGCCATTACACTTGAGTGCACACCCACCCGCTCTGACTCAGGGTTCGGTATCCATGCTGCTTCGTTTCTTTGGAAGTAAACCCAAGTACACAATATTGCACTTTTGATTTGCGATTGTATGCTTATAATTTTGTTTATATGTTTTTTCATAACCAGCAATGTATATTATATGTCATGAATAAGTGATAATTGTGTTTTAATTATGTTTGATTTTTTTGGTTGCATGTGACCTTTAAGTGTAACAAGATTGTGAGCCCATTACAAATTGGGGATGACTTCTTTATTTTGACAATGGCGATGTTTCAGTATACCAAAACGTCGCCATTGTCAAAATAAAGAAGTTGAAAGTCTTGTCATCCCTATACCACCAACTTCTAGAATGCCACTCAAACAAACCATTACAAATTATATTCATATGGTAAATGTGTAACAAGTTATAGAATATTATTTATCTAGTAACAGAAACAGTTAATGTAAAACCTGTGTGACAGATTTCAGATGTTATACAAACACAAAACAGAGTATATACAAAGTGTAACTGTTTACATACCAGCAAAGTGTAACACATCTATACTGTTTACATACCAGCAAAGTGTAACAACGTTTACATACCAGCAAAGTGTTTACATATACTGTTTACATAGCAAAGTGTAAACATCCGGGTATCTACCAGCAAGTGTTGCCATCCATGTCGACTTACTACTGTTTACATACCAGCAAAGTGTAACACATCTATACTGTTTACATACCAGCAAAGTGTAACACATCTATACTGTTTACATACCAGCAAAGTGTAACACAACTATACTGTTTACATACAAGCAAAGTGTAACACATCTATACTGTTTACATACCATCAAAGTGTAACACATCTATACTGTTTACATACCATCAAAGTGTAACACATCTATACTGTTTACATACCAGCAAGGTGTAACACATTCATACTGTTTACATACCAGCAAGTTGTAACACATCTATACTGTTTACATACCAGCAAAGTGTAACACATATACTGTTTACATACCAGCAAAGTGTAACACATCTATACTGTTTACATACCAGCAAAGTGTAACACATCTATACTGTTTACATACCAGCAAAGTGTAACACATCTATACTGTTTACATACCAGCAAAGTGTAACACATCTATACTGTTTACATACCAGCAAAGTGTAACACATCTATACTGTTTACATACCAGCATGTGTAACACGTCCATGCTGTTTACATACCAGCAAGGTGTAACACGTCTATACTGTTTACATACCAGCAAAGTGTAACACATCTATACTGTTTACATACCAGCAAAGTGTAACACATCTATACTGTTTACATACCAGCAAAGTGTAACACATCTATACTGTTTACATACCATCAAAGTGTAACACATCCATACTGTTTACATACCAGCAAAGTGTAACACATCCCCAGCTGAAATGAGCAGGAAAAGACCATGGTATACCATGGTAGACCATGGTTCACAGACCATGGTTGACCATGGTGTATCATGGCTTACCACATCCGGTAAATGGCACCACAGTTTACCATGGTCAAAGAGACCATGGTCTACCATGGTGAAAAAAGACCATGGTGTACCATGGTCAAAAGAGACCATGGTATACCATGGTCTACCATGGTAAAAAGACCATGGTCTATCATGGTTTAACCACGTCGCGATGTAAATGGCACCACAGTTTACCATGGTAAGATAAGACCATGGTCTACCATGGTAAAAGAGACCATGGTGTACCATGGTCAACCATGGTATACCATGGATTACCATGGTAAAGAGACCATGGAATATGTACCATGGTGTACTACTGAAAAACTGAGACCATGGTCAGTATACCCTGTTCGGTAGATGGCACATTAGAATACCATTATTTAGACTATGGTAAGAAACCAACCGCGCCATACCACAATATATACATTGTAGTCACATACACCATGGCATAGAGATCAATTAGAATATTGGGTATTGAAGAATTAACATTAAACAAATTCATGCACTGAAAACAAACTGTTCAAATTATAAAGACACATTTTATTGCTGACACTGACAGATTTAAATGAAAGACAACTTGAGGGACAGTTGTTGGGAAACTCGCAGGGATTGAGGGATATTCTGTGCAACAAAGTACAAGTCTAAAGCAAACTAGAATTACATATCCAGTAATGCTGCTAGGGACAAATGGCATGTGGACATGTTCATCATTTTCAGAGGATATTCTTATCTATTATTTTATTCTAAAACATCTTTAGGGCAGCTTGGATGTCAGTCTATATCCAGGAAAATTAACCAATTCAGAACACCATTTCATGCAGTAATATACAATTTCAGAAAGAGTAATCACTTTAGTCTATATGGTTTAGAAGTAGACATAATAAATGAGAGTCACAACCAACAGAGAAATTACAACAGGGCCCAAAATCATCTACCTGGAAGTTGTACAAGGGGCATCACAATTTCTCTCAGAAGAAACAGGATATACACAAGTCTGAAGAACCCCCGGAAGAGCAGTGGTGACATCCCGAAAATGTCCACATTGGTTCAGGGATATTGAGTGAGTGAGTTTAGTTTTACACCACTTTTAGCAATGTTCCAGCAATATCACACCGAGGGACACCTAAGGGGCTACACACATTGTACCCATGCGAGGAATCGAACCCAAGTCTTCAGTGTGATGAGCAAACGCTCCGGCACAGGAATAAACTCATCTTGTAGAACTTTATCTTCAGTGTTTCAACATTAGGACCATTTCTTCAGAATCGTCCAGTGGAAATCTGAAAAACACACCAACATTTAATCACAATCATTCTATTTCAAACAGTCTTAAGCAAATATCAAACAAGCGTTGTTGTTGTTTTTTAAATATATATTTACAGTTGCTCAAAATGTTATGTATTTTTAACATATTGCAAATATTTTTCACCAGACTCTAATTATATTGTTCAAAATAATTTCTTTACACTGATGGCAGATGACTTTAAAATATTTTTGTAATATGAAGAGTCTATGCCAAGTAACACAACATGTATTAGAAATTAAAACACCAAATTGGCTTCTAAATCACTAGTCTACATTCATGACCAAATATAATATTCTGAAATGTTTACATTCCCCATTATTTATAATAATCAACATATCATAACATAGAAAAACGTATCTTACTGTAAGTGAATCTATTTCCACGTTAAGTGAATAGCTAAACGTTTTGGCACAGTCATTTTTGGTTTACAGTCAGTAGTTATTCCAAAACTGAATACAAATACGATAGAAAAGAAAATGAAATATCCATAAACATGCCTGTAGCAATTATCTCCCTTTTTATGACCCTTTGAATTTATTTTGCTGTCTGTGTAATCTAAGCAAACAAACTGAATCTTTCAGGCTGACCTCTACAAGCCCCGTGAACTTTGACACCATTCGATCACTGATAACTTAACTAAAAAAAGTCATAACGGTTTTGTTTTTTTAAAAAGTACCGTTAGATATTGGTCGTGTGTTAACATAGATATGTAGAACATATTGCACAAAACCCAAATTAACACTGACTTTCCGTTTGAGGGAAGTACATTGTTTATAAAATGAACACTGCTATATCTTTTATCGTCTTTCCGTCATTCTCCTCAAAAACTGTTGCTTACCACGTCACATACGTTCGTATGTGCGTATTCCAATTTATCAAAACAATTTCAATATATCTGCACTCAAAATAATTTCAATATTGCTGTTATTTACTTACCGCTCATGCTTATGTCCACTGGAATTCAACTTGAGATGTATCCATCGGCACTAAATCTAGTCTATTCCTTTATCATGAGTTCTTGACATATCCATCGCTGGATTATCCTCGAAATCCGTCATTGCTAATATATTAGGGATATTCTTCGCTTGGATCGTTGTAGTCTATTGCCAGTGTTGACAAAGTTGTGTTTCGCGCCTATCACTGGTTTTGCGCGCTCACAAATGACTACGTGACAAGTAGCAGCTATGGCATCGGTCGTGCGCGGGAAACGGTCGCGTGTCTCCGTATCGTACTATCTCCATTCGGCTTGTCCCGGAATGGTGCGAGTTGGAAGTTGAAACATATTTTTTAGAAAAGAAAAATTAATTAGTACGACCAGGGATGTATCGTAACCATGTATGTAAAAGGCTGTATGATTAGTGCTATCCGTTCTTGAAGTCGCAATAAGATTACGTAAGCACGAAGGGCGTGGCCGTGTTTGCAATCACGCGATCGAGGTACTTCATAACAACACTACGTAGTCAACAGTGGATAATTTCTCATCTTATTAACAAATAAAGGCAAGAATTACAATATCAAGGCATCAACATCAAAATTAGAATTCATAAACAATAATATTGTCAACGGCGGGAATCGCAAAAAAAGATATTCAGTGCACACGTTCCTTCGTCGGTCATAACGTGGAAGAATAGTTTTTTGCACATATCCCCGGCAATAATTTAAATTTCATTAATCTACTTTGATGTAATCTCTTCCGGGTCATATTGCACGTGCTGAACAGGAAGTGACAGTGAAATGTGTTCTAAAATCGGGAGCTTCACCATTAACATTGCGAAAGACGTACTTATAACAAGTTTTAGGCACGTTTGCCGATCGTGATCACTCACGGGAGAAATTCAATGAAATGAGACGATTTTGACATTGTAATTTCAAATTTTATTTTATGGAGTAAATATGAAAAAGAAAGAGAATTAAAAATCTTCCAGCACTAATTGGTTACGCTGTTATTGACAGAAGGTAAGTTTTACGCAGAACTGTCTATGTTTCTAAAACGGATCGTGTTAGGCACAGAATATTGTTTCGCCTTCTGTCGTGCATTGTTTTTGTTGTTGCTGTATTTTTTTTAAAAAACAACAACTAAAGGCAACCAGGCACAAAAAACTAGTAAGACCACGAGAGACGGGGTTTACACAGTTTAATGGACAACTTTAGCAAAGGGGCGGGCAAAATTATTTTATTTTCAAATGTACGGAGGGTTAATTTTGTTTTGATTTTCAAGTGTATAAGACGTCCTTTGTTCCTTATATTTGTGTGTGTGTTTCTGTAGCAACAATGAGAAAGTTAAATTACGTGAACTGTTCCCGTTGATAATTGTTTTTTATGACATTGTGTTCTTGTATTTTTCATTAAAACACACTTCATTTTTACTTGTCTCTCACCGAGTGAAGTGTTCAATTTTAGTTGTTTAATGCACACAGACGTAAAAACATCTGAGATGTTTTACACACGTCCTTTGTAAAAATGCTATTAGTATAATGCCTGTGTAACACTTCATTGAATGCTCCCGCTATTTTGTTATTCATAAATGAAACACAATGTCATGAAACAGTCAGGATTTCAATTTTAATTTTTTTATTTATCACAGTTTGAAATGTAAAATTGGTCTGTCATGACCATGGTCTACCATAGATTTGTCTGTGATGACCATGGTCAACCATTACACTGTATGAGAACAACACCATGGTCTACCATAGTTTTGTTTAAGATGACCATGGTCTACCCTGGTTTCTGGTGACCATGGTGTAGAATGACCATGGTCTGCTGTGGTATACCATGGTCACCATGGTATACCATGGTATACCATGGGGAGAAATGTTGGTGACCATGGTCTACCATGGTTTCTGGTGACCATGGTCTATAATGACCATGGTCTGCTGTGGTACACCATGGTGACCATGGTCTACCATGGTCTACCATGGGGAGAAATGTTAGTGACCCGCGGTTTAGCATGGTAAACCATGGTAATACCATGGTTTACCGTGGTAAGCTCATGGTTGACCATGGTCAACCATGGTGCCTTTCAGCTGGGCCATACTGTTTACATACCATCAAAGTGTAACACATCTATACTGTTTACATACCAGCAAAGTGTAACACATTCATACTGTTTACATACCAGCAAAGTGTAACACGTCCATGCTGTTTACCTACCAGCAAAGTGTAACACAACCATACTGTTTGCAAAATTATTACCAGCAAAGTGTAACACATATACTGTTTACATACCATCAAAGTGTAACACATCCATACTGTTTACATACCAGCAAAGTGTAACACGTCCATGCTATTTACATACAAGCAAAGTGTAACACATCTATACTGTTTACATACCAGCAAAGTGTAACACATTCATACTGTTTACATACCAGCAAGTTGTAACACATCTATACTGTTTACATACAAGCAAAGTGTAACACATATACTGTATACATACCAGCAAAGTGTAACACATCTATACTGTTTACATACCAGCAAAGTGTAACACATCTATACTGTTTACATACCAGCAAAGTGTTACACATCCATACTGTTTACATACCAGCAAAGTGTAACACGTCCATGCTATTTACATACCAGGAAAGTATAACACATCCATACTGTTTACATACCAGCAAAGTGTAACACGTCCATGCTATATACATACCAGCAAAGTGTAACACATCCATACTGTTTACATACCAGCAAAGTGTAACACATCCATACTGTTTACATACCAGCAAAGTGTAACACATCCATACTGTTTACATACCAGCAAAGTGTAACACGTCCATACTGTTTACATACCAGCAAAGTGTAACACATCCATACTGTTTACATACCATCAAAGTGTAACACATCTATACTGTTTACATACCAGCAAAGTGTAACACATCTATACTGTTTACATACCAGCAAAGTGTAACACATCTATACTGTTTACATACCAGCAAAGTGTAACACATCTATACTGTTTACATACCAGCAAAGTGTAACACATCTATACTGTTTACATACCAGCAAAGTGTAACACATCTATACTGTTTACATACAAGCAAAGTGTAACACATATACTGTTTACATACCAGCAAAGTGTAACACATCTATACTGTTTACATACCAGCAAAGTGTAACACGTCTATACTGTTTACATACCAGCAAAGTGTAACACATCCGTACTGTTTACATACCATCAAAGTGTAACACATCCATACTGTTTACATACCAGCAAAGTGTAACACATCTATACTGTTTACATACCAGCAAAGTGTAACACATATACTGTTTACATACCAGCAAAGTGTAACACATCTATACTGTTTACATACCAGCAAAGTGTAACACATCCATACTGTTTACATACCAGCAAAGTGTAACACATCCATACTGTTTACATACCATCAAAGTGTAACACATCTATACTGTTTACATACCAGCAAGTGTAACACATCTATACTGTTTACATACCAGCAAAGTGTAACACGTCTATACTGTTTACATACCAGCAAAGTGTAACACATCTATACTGTTTACATACCAGCAAAGTGTAACACATCTATACTGTTTACATACCAGCAAAGTGTAACACATCTATACTGTTTACATACCAGCAAAGTGTAACACATCTATACTGTTTACATACCAGCAAAGTGTAACACATCTATACTGTTTACATACAAAGCAAAGTGTAACACATATACTGTTTACATACCAGCAAAGTGTAACACATCTATACTGTTTACATACCAGCAAAGTGTAACACATCTATACTGTTTACATACCATCAAAGTGTAACACATCCATACTGTTTACATACCAGCAAAGTGTAACACATCTATACTGTTTACATACAAGCAAAGTGTAACACATATACTGTTTACATACCAGCAAAGTGTAACACATCCATACTGTTTACATACCAGCAAAGTGTAACATGTCTATACTGTTTACATACCATCAAAGTGTAACACATCTATACTGTTTACATACCAGCAAAGTGAAACACGCATCTATACTGTTTACATACCAGCAAAGTGTAACACATCTATACTGTTTACATACCAGCAAAGTGTAACACGTCTATACTGTTTACATACCAGCAAAGTGTAACACATCCATACTGTTTACATACCATCAAAGTGTAACACATCTATACTGTTTACATACCAGCAAAGTGTAACACATTCATACTGTTTACATACCAGCAAAGTGTAACACGTCCATGCTGTTTACATACCAGCAAAGTGTAACACATTCATACTGTTTACATACCAGCAAAGTGTAACACATCCATACTGTTTACATACCAGCAAAGTGTAACATGTCTATACTGTTTACATACCATCAAAGTGTAACACATCTATACTGTTTACATACCAGCAAAGTGAAACACGTCTATACTGTTTACATACCAGCAAAGTGTAACACATCCATACTGTTTACATACCAGCAAAGTGTAACACGTCTATACTGTTTACATACCAGCAAAGTGTAACACATCTATACTGTTTACATACCAGCAAAGTGTAACATGTCTATACTGTTTACATACCAGCAAAGTGTAACACATCCATACTGTTTACATACCAGCAAAGTGTAACACATCCATACTGTTTACATACCAGCAAAGTGTAACACGTCTATACCATTTACATGTAACATAGACTATTCCAAAGCACACTTATGCACTTATCTTATGCAAACATAAATAAAGAGGTAGAAAAGGTATATGTTGGTAATTACAAAAGTTTGACAACCTTCATCCATGAATCAACACCACTGTCCACATGATCATTGTTTTGTTCCAGATTTTGAAGTAGTTATCTGAACATTTTAAACGGATGCAATACTCCATTTGAACACTTTTCAGGACCGTCACGTGAAACCACCCTTCTCATTAGTTACTTGGGTCTCCTGGGTGCCGGGGCGGTGGGGTATCCTAGTGGTTAAAGCATTCGCTCGTCACACCAAATCCCCGGGTTCGATTCCCCACATGGGTACAATGTGTAAAGCCCATTTCTGGTGTCCCCTGCTGTGATGTTGCTTGAATATTGCTAAAAGCGGTGTAAAACCATACTCACTCACTCACTCACTCCAGGGTGCCACCTGGAGGCCCATGTAAGACCCTGCTTTGTTCAGACTGCAGTCGACTGATGTGCTGTCACTAATTGTAACATGAACATGTCTTGTTCTTGCTTCCTGGAATGTCAAATCTTTGTTCTTGTATGGTAAAGGGCACTTTCCTACACAAGGATTTAGGAACTTTCCTTCATTATTGTACAGTACAACCAGAAATTATTGAGAATTTAAAGATTGTAATTTTTTTTTTTCACTCATTACTCACGTATTAAATGTGAATATTAGCAGAACATAACTCCAGATACAAAGACAGGTGAACTGTTAGTATTTTGTCAAGTCACCATGGGCAGCAATGCAGGCTTCAATGCGGGGCATACTACTGATCAAAGAAGTAAGAAAGTCGCGGTCCATGCTGTCCGGACCACCTCTTCTTTCATTTCAGCAATATTTGTCAGATTTTTCTTATTGACACTTTCCTTCATAAGTCCCCAAACATTTGCTATTGGATTTAGGTCAGGGCTATAGCTTGGCCAATCT